GCCAATAATTAAAGAAAATAAACACAGTCAAGAGAGCAAAAATAAGCTGAAATTAATTATAGAGCTACTGCTAACGATAACATATAGGGTACAAATATTTGTAATATATTGAATTTTAATAGAAGTACTGTCATCAAATAACTTTATTTATAGAAGTAAGGAAACTATCAGATACTATATGAAACTATCAGATTAATATGAAATTATGTATAAACTAACTTATTTACTTTTTATAATATATAAAATAATAAAATATTTTATATGAATTAATTAACAAATTTATTTTTATATAAATATATTTACTAAATATAATTGATTACATATATTCGATAATGAATTCGTTCCCATCACTGCAAACAAAAACTATCTTAATTCTAAAAAGTTGTCTTGATATAGAAACCTTTGATTACGCAAACTCCTTTTACCTGAAATATTTATTTTATTTAAAAATATTTTAAATTTTATCATTGAAAAATAATGGAAAATCCCTTAATTAAGACCACAGGAAGTATGTAAAGACTTACGCTGAGTTTTTACCAGCAGGTACTAATGAGTATCTTGCGAAATACCTCGTTCATTCAAAAATGTTGAATGAACACAGCATTTAGTATTTTAACCTAAAAATTCTTAAGGTTGTCTGTTATTCTAAACAAAGGAAATTATTTCAAAACGAAAGGGTTAAGTCTATTGTTTTAAAGACTCAGAGGCGTTCAGACAGTCATAAAATGTATAATTGCACAAAAATTAGATAAAAACCGCTTTAATGGGTGGCTTTCTAGGAATAATTATATTGTTTGGAATAGAAATGAAATGCATGAAGACATCAGAAGACGCTGGTGTATGTACTTATAAAGATATTATATATTGTGACATCAACATTCCGTGAAAAATGTTTTAAGAAGTTTCGATTTAAATTAAACGTATATTAGATATGTAGAAAAATCTTTTAATAAAAGAAATTAAAATCAATGAATTTTGTAAGTAATGGAAAATATATGATATATTTGAATTGAAGAGAGAAGTCATATCATAAGTCAATCAAAGCTAATGCAAAATTGTGAGATGCACATCGTGTGTTGGTTTCGAAATTCACCGCATTCTTTGGACCCGGCTTCCAATGTCTACTATTTGTTTGCAGAACTGTAAAGTATGTTCAATGGGATAAAGACAGTATAGAAAGATAAGTAATTCTATAAAAACTGTGTCGAAATGTTAGAGAAGTTTTGACAAGATTGGAGATTATGTTCCTGAATAAGGTCGAATTTTACTTAAAATTTGTAATTTTATAAGCCAACTTTGGAACTTATTACGTGATATGGTATATCAATAATATAAGGTTACATAGTCAATATAATATTGGGTTGATATAATACATGTCATAAATAGTAATAATTCTTTACATAAATGTATTACTAATATAACAATTAGTAATCGTTCATATTATAAACTTTCTGATGGTCATAGTCCCATCAGAAAGTGATAGTTAATTTATGTAAAGAATGGCGGACGGGTTTGGAAATTGAGATAGAGTCCTTCAATCTATTGCTTGTCAATGCTTTTGTTTTTTTAGACAGAATGTATACATACATATATATGAAAAAAATTATATGCTCTTTATATGTCTTTTCGCTGTACGCCCAAATTTTTCGAAACGTGGGTGTATAAAATTTGTGATAAGATTTATAATTTTTATATTAACAGATATATTGATTTTAAGTAGTAATTTTAGATATTTCAGTATGTACATTTCTTATACACATATATGTGTTTTTATTTAATTTTTTGTTTTTTCTTTATTTTTATTTTTGTCTATTTTTATATCATATAATTTTATCAATATTAGTTTATTAAAGTTATTTATTTTTTATGTACTTAGGTGTGCCAATACAACTTTAATCCATAAAAATATTTCTGATAACTTTAATTTTGTTTTATTAAAAAATTATTATATTTATTTATTTTCGTGATATCATAATTTTAAATAATTATTTAAATAACAATTTTTATATCTATTTTTTATAATTTTTATATTATTTATTATAAAATTATATGGAACTTATAGCTGTTTTATGTCAGTTATAAATAATAGCTTTAGTAGCTTTAAAATCTGATGCATTCATTAGAAAGCAACATATATTATATATATGTATATATATATGTACGTGTGAAAGCATTTGTTAGTTTGGTTTATATCGACGATCTTAAAGAGGATTCATTTAGACAAATTGTCTAAAAGACTATTGTATTATGGTGTTAAAACAATTATATGATCTTATAAGTTTCTTAAAATATATAAACATATATACTGATTATATATATTTATGCGTAAAAAATTAAATATTTTATTTAAAAATTATTATTAAGTTTCTCCTGAAAACGCTTTATTATTAAGACGATTTACAATGGAACATATTTTAGAAAATAGTTTTTTTTTGGAATTTTTATATAAACTAAAATAGTTTATGAACTTAAAAGTTTTTAAATCATTATTAAATATTTCTAAGCATTGATGCCATTATTAATTCTATTTTAATATGTTTTAATTTATATATTTTTAATAATTTGAAATTTATGTGCATAGAGTATAAAGTACTAATGAAGGCATAAAAAATATTATCTTATTTATATTGAACACTTTATATGTAGATTTTGTTCCTGAACTTTAATCACTTCTTTCCCACTTAATGACTTGCAATCTCACTTTTCACATCTTAAAGTCATTTATGCTATTGTCTGCTAATAATAATATTTTGACCTTAAATTTTTATAAATTATTTTTATTTCATAGAATTTATTTTAGGCAATAATTATTTAGTTATTAATTTGTTTATTTTTAGAAATAATTTTCACCGACGCGTACATCGACTGAGTGAAGAGCGGACCGTGTAAAAAATGCTTTTGTCGCTGAAACGAAAATCGCTGCAAATTTCGAAATACGCGCCCAAGCGCCCAAGCACTGGCAGAGGCAGAAGCACGTTTGTTCTTATGGCGACGACGAATGTGACATTGGGATACCTTAACCTCAAACGTGAATTCCAAAATTTAACCATAATTTTAAAAAAATGTATATTATGTCTCCTCATTCAATTCAATTCAATTCAGTTCAGTTCAGTTTGGTTCAGTTCAGTAGTGAAGTTTTTTGTTTGTTTTCTGTTTGTATTCCATTTTTTTCTTTTGGAATGTCAAAAAGCATCAGCTTCTGCTTCAGGTTCAGCTTCAGCTACGTATGGGCAATGGCAGTTCTCTGTGCAAACATAAACGTAATTTGCAGTCTTCGTTGTTCGTGGCAAAGAGCACGAAATTTACAATTTTGTAGGGTGCCAAAGTAAGGAAATATACTTTTGCTATACACAATGACAGCAAAAATTAAAGCAAAAAAAAAAACAAAACCTCGATTTGTGCAGTTTCAGTGCAGTTTTCTGTTTTCTGTTTTCACTGTTGCAAATATTGGATATTCAAACGAATAATGAAAATAGTAACAGCAACAGCAAACGCAATAACAACAACAAAAACAACTTGGCAGTATGGAACACAGTTATTGATCGTTTCTACTGAAAAATCGTTATTTGTCATATTGACGACAGTTTTTAGGCCTCAGCCTGAAACAAAATGAGTTATTTTAAACTGAAATAGAATTGGAATTGAAACAATGTTATATGTTGTGGGTGGTAGACACACAAATGGAAGCTTTTAACAACCAAATATATTTCACTATACTATGTTGCATATGCATACACATTCAGCTTCAACATAACTTTTAACTCACACAAATGCAGTTCAGTACATTTTCGTACTCCATTTAGAGGCGTAACGTAAGCTAAGCTCCACCTACGTCACCTTGGCAACCAACCCATTCCTTATGTATATATGGGAGCATAATTTTTAACAGTGCTAATCAACCAATACGCTTGCGCCTTAAATGTCACTTATAAAATTCAACTCAATGCTGCATAAGTGTGCGTGAGCCTTGCACACAGTATACACAAGAATGTGTGTCACTTTCATTTAATTGTGTACGCAAGAGAGCCAAAATCGGCTGCAATTATCATGAAGTCGTTTGTTTCATCCATTTTCCCTATACGATAAAAAGCTGGTTTGCATAGTGCTCTACACACACATCCACCACCTTTCTTGCCACTACTGAAGCCGGCGTAAAAACGAGATGCAACTATACATTCACGCTTAACTAACAAAAGGAGATAGCCATATACACAGCACAACAAACTCTTTAAACAGCACACAGAGCTGCTGAAAGTAGTATGAACATAAGCCCAAATAAACGACACGATACGAAACGAAACAAAACGAAGTGAGGCCAAGTTAAGACAGACCAGCTTGCCTGCTCGAAAACGCAAAAGAACACTTGAGCGACTCGAATGATATTTGTTAGTAGTTAAGCCAAACAGTAAGCAGGCATCCCCTCTGCAAACAGTCACGTTCAAGAGCTCAAGCCAAAGAGTAGTACTCGAGTCGCGCACTACCAGCACATCTGCTGGATATCGTACCGTACTGTGCTGAACCATAATCAATTCCATCGAATTGTACTAAACTAAACTAAACTAAACTATGCCGTGCATAGCCCGTGTTTCTGTGTTGTTATACGTTTATTAAATACTAAATAAAACTAAATAAAAGAAGAAATATTGTGCAGATTGTGTATTGTGTTTCGTATTTCGTATTTGATTTGAAAATCATATGAATCACCAAGTATTGAAAAACAAATAATTTAATAATAAAAAAGTGATTGAAGGGAGTTTGCTTGTCAATTGTTTAAGCTAAATCCAAACATTAGAGACGTGTTTACGGAGCATTCAAAACAAAATATACACATAATAATAACAATATCAACATAAATAAAAAACATCAACAAATTTTAAGAATAGAAATTATTACAAATGATAGCAAAAATAAATAAATAAGCAATTTTATTTGTGTTCTTGTAGTGAAAGTGCATATAAACAATTTTTTTTTCAAATTTTATTTAAAAAGAAAAAACTATACAAAATAACTTTTCAAAAAAATTCTCTTATTAAGTTTTGCTTACGCTGGCATCTAGCATAAATCGATGGCAAAAAAATTATTTTAATTAAAAAAACAAAACATAAAAAAACCTAAAAATAAATAAAAATTCGCGACGCGTTAACGTCGCGTTTGAGTAAATATTTTTGATTGAATTTCGTGTCGTGCGTAAGCCGCAAAAACCGTCAACATAACGACGCAACTACTGAATAGTTTTCTTAAGGGTTCCCCCCACCAAACCACGATCGACATTATGCAGAAGCTGTACTCGGAGGCGCCGCCAACGAGTGGCCCCGTCAGCATGACCAGCTCAAGTGGCGGGAATAATACAGGTGGCGGCGGTGGAGGTGGAGGAGGTGGTGGAGGCAGCGCTAATCCGAACAGCAGTACAGCAAATGGAGGCACAATGAGTCCATTAGCGCGTTCCGCATACACAATGAATACCATGGGTATGCCCGTCGGTGGTATGGGCTCGGTATCGCCACAAACAGCTGCAACATTTGGTACAAGCGTACTGGAATCTGCCGCTGCAGTTGCAAGTATGGGTGGCAGTATGGGTGCAGCTGCTGCAATGAATTCCATGGCAGGCAATTGTATGACGCCGAGTTCGATGAGTTATGCATCGATGGGTTCACCATTGGGAAATATGGGAAATTGCATGGGAGGCGGTATGTCTACAATGGCAGCAATGGGTGGTTACTCGGCAATGGCTTCTGCGGCTGGTGCACGCGACTTAGATGCGGGTTCACCAAACTCTTTAAATCGTGCTAGAGTTGAGAAACCAACAACATACAGACGCAGTTACACACATGCTAAACCACCATATTCGTATATATCACTAATAACGATGGCCATACAGAATAATCCAACACGCATGTTAACCTTATCGGAAATATATCAATTTATAATGGATTTGTTTCCTTTCTACCGGCAAAATCAGCAACGTTGGCAAAACTCGATACGACATTCACTTTCATTTAACGACTGCTTTGTGAAAATACCACGCACACCTGATAAGCCTGGGAAGGGCTCGTTTTGGACTCTACACCCAGATTCTGGAAATATGTTTGAGAATGGTTGTTATTTACGTCGGCAGAAACGTTTCAAAGACGAAAAGAAAGAAGCCATACGACAATTGCATAAAAGTCCCTCGCATAGCAGTTTGGAAGCTACAAGTCCTGGTAAGAAAGATCATGAAGATTCGCATCATTTGCATCATCATCACAGTCGTCTAGATCATCATCACCAGCACCATCACAAGGACGGTGTTGGTTCGTCAGTTGGTGGTGCAGGCAGCGTACTTGGTGGTGCTCATAGCAAAGATGCCGAAGCGCTTGCAATGTTACATGCAAATGCGGAACTTTGTCTAGGTCAGCAAGCGCAACATGCACCCACACACCACCATCAACATCACCATCAACTACAGCAAGAAGAATTGTCTGCTATGGTGAATAGGTGCCATCCATCGCTAATTAGCGACTATCACAGCTCTATGCATCATCTAAAACAAGAGCCGACGGGTTATACACCATCCAATCATCCATTCTCAATAAATCGCTTACTGCCCACTGAATCAAAAGCCGATATTAAAATGTATGATATGAGTCAGTATGCAGGCTATAATGCACTCAATCCATTGACGAATTCACATGCCGCCTTAGGCTCTTCAGACTCCTATTATCAAAGTCTCGGCTATCATGCGCCTGCCGGCACGACCAGTTTGTGACATCACCAGTACCCACTGGCTTAAGGGCGAGCGGAACAGATGCTGCGCACTAATCACAACACCAGTAGCAGCATCTTTGGCGCAGCCGCCACCAGCGGCCACCTTGAGTCACAACAACTTGCCGTACACCAACAACATCAGCAAGCCCTACATCAACGAAGAAGTTACCTCAAAACAAATAGTAACTATGCAACAAGCAGCAGCGCCAACAATAGCATTGCACCGAAATTATCCGCCGCACAACAACAACAACTACTACAAGGTCAACTGCCGTCTCCAGAGCTACAAGAGGATTCGTCCAACATAACGTCCGACCTGAATGAGGAACAACTAATGCAACAAGCACATCAACAACAACAACAGCAGCTATATAACAACTATCAACAATATGCGGCAGCGGCTACCTATCGCAACTGGAACCACAGTTTGACGTTGAACGGCGCGGCGGCATTACAAAACCTGCTTTAGCAAAGAAACGGTATGTAAACCAGTGTAGACGCAAGTAGGCGGCAAGAAATTCTTTGGTCTGCGCAATAATAAAAACTAAACAAAAGCGAGCCTTTGTCTGGCCAAAGTTGGGTACGCAGTAGCGGCTACCGCGCGCACGAAAGCGTGTACCATTCGAACACATTGCCGGTCCGTAGAGTTCAATTAGCATTTGGCTCGAATGAGTCTGAGATGCGCATTTAATGTGCTAAACTGACACGCTTTTAGCACTTACAGTGCGTCCTTTGCGTAAGTACACTTTTCATTGGTAATGATGGCCTCATACTTGGCACTTTTATGCTTGATTGCCTGATGGATGGTAAAGTGCCACCGTGTGTGCTGTTGTCGTGTGTACTGGGTGGAGGCAACATGCTGAGGGCAACTTGGGAGATCGAAGAATCGAAGAAATCGAAGAGATCGAACGTTGGATTAATATCAGTTACATATATGCTTTCATAAAATTTGTAAATATTTAGCATTTAAGTGAATGTTAAGATTTTATTTTATTTTTTTATGGATATACACTTTTTCGTTAATGCTTTTATGGGTTGGAAAGAGCTAGATTCCTTCTTTGTCTATTTGTCTAAATGTAGTACATATGAGAAGAAAAGGATTATGGGTTCTTTCTGTCTTTTTATTTTAAGCAGCAATCAAAAGTGATGTAGTTTTAAGAGGATTTCAGAGATGATTTGTTGAAAGCATTTTTAAATTTAAATTATAAATCCATTTGATTTATATATACTTTAATACATATTTAGTTCTTATGTTGAAGATATAGTTCAATATAGTAATTTTGTTTTTGATCTACAATTTTTTTTATGCCGCAAACTCCGTGCCATTTGTTCAGATATAAAAACAACAACAAAGAGAACAGTAACAATCAACAAACACTAAATAAAATAAAAAATAAATAATAAATAAATAAATAAATATTTTTTTTTATATAAATTTTTATTGTTAATAATTAAAATGTAATTATTAAATGTAAATGTTTTAAGTTAAGTTTAACAACTAAAACTACGCCATAGTAAGTGCAATTTATCTTATATTCTATTCTATTATTCTATTATTCTATTATTTATATGTACACATAAATATATAAATGTCCAAATTTTATAAATTTGTTAAAAATTTCACTAAACAAAAACAAAAACAAAAACAAAAACGTAAACGAATTCGAATCGAAATGATCAAACCAAAAATGAATCTTCAAATTTTAATTATTTTTTTACACAATTCAGCAAATAAATTTAATATAAGTACTTTGTACAGTAAATTATGCATTGAATTTTATTTGTAATTCTTTTTTATCTTTATATGGATATATTTGTAAATATTATAAAAGAAATTATAAATATAATATATATGTAATATATGAGAACGGAAATTTGAATTGAGCATCAATTGATTTTGCCTATGAAAATTGTAAAATTTTTATTAAAATAAATTTTAATAAAATTATTATTAGAATTTACAATTAACTAAACAACACACACTTTTTAAACAAATAAACGAATTGATAAAAAATTTTAATTAATATAATATAAAGTAATATATATATATATATATTAAAAACTCATATTAAGTTAATGCAAAACGCAATGATTATTCAATAATTAAAAATAAGTATAAAATAGTTTAGAATTTCCGTAAATTTTTACATGAGAGCAAAGCTAAAAGTTATTATTATTAAAAAAAAAGGATTAATTTAATTCCTTACAATCTATATTCGATTGTTTGGGACGTGAAGAAAAAAAAAAACAAAAAATAATTCGAAAAAATCAAAATAAAATATTTAAATATACAATTATGTATCTTGTTAATTCTGAGATAGCAACTAAAGCTAAGTAAAGTAAAGTAAAGTAAAGTAATAAATCATCAAATTAAATATTAAATAGAACGAGAGTAAAACTGGTGTAATTGTCATTCACTACATACGAGTAATTCTATGATCAATACGTTTAAAGTACACACAGATCTTGTAAAATAAGTAAAATCTATAATTAAAGTGCATAATATGTAAAAGAATGTATGTCTAAAATCCTTTAAACTAGTTAAAATTTAATAAAACAAAAACTTATTTTAATGTTTGCAATACAAAAATAATATTATCTATTTTTCTTTCCCTCCCCACCACCAAGTCTTCTAATCTCAATTGAGTTGAATAAGTGATCGTGTAAAAAAATTTAAAAAAAATTTATTTAAGTAAATTAAAATAGTTATGTCTTAATTAATCAATTAATTAATTGATTGATAATGTGACAATACATCTGGTTTGTCTGGAAATATGTGATCTCTAAGACGCCCCGATTTGACAGCGAATTTTGTTGGAATTGATCATACTGAGCTTTGGATAGATTTACATTTAAGAGATCAGTTTTCCAAAAAATTAATTATTTATCTTATATTATGTGTTTTCTGATTTCTTGTGTATTAATGCCCGTGTAATGCTTCAACTATCTGCTGGAAGCATCCATTGATATAAGATATTCATATGTTTAAGTTGTTAAATTTTTGCTCTATATAGCACCCTAACTTTGTCGACATTAAGTCGATTTGTTCTTAAGTATAACTATCTTTTGTGCCCAACACTATTGTCATTACATTTTATCGCCTCTTTATAAAACTCTAAATCACATTTAATTATTTTTTGGGACGTAGCCGTAGACGACCTTGGAGTCCTGAAAGATTTTTGAAATGTGCCAGCTCAGTTGCATGTGAAAGACTCTAATAACTTACTATCTCCAGCTTTAACAGCTAGCTTATTAAAGGTGTAAGTCAATTACAATACATAAAAGATTCCGGTAGATCCAGTGTTCAAACAATATGAACCCGTTAAAGTTGCGTGGCCTATCCATTTCTTTATATATCGATTTAGTTTGATTCACAAAATTTCGGACCTTAAAATTGTAAATTTTTACATTAGAACTTGTTATTCAACACAACAAAAATCAAAATGTGATCAATTAATACCAGCTTGATGTCGGGATTTGTTCTTCTTTGTATAAGGAATGCATAATTTTTTATCTTTAAGCTTAAATATCTCAAATCGCAAGCTACGACTGTATATAGATCAATCGAAAACTAACTGAGGATAATAATATTTACCAAAAATCTGTTATTAGTATCTTAGAAAACGTAATGGTGATAAATTCCATACTGAATTAATTAATTTCAATTAGAAAGCAAACGACCCTATGTGCCACCTAGGAATAAGAGGTTTAAATATATATATGTAGAAAGCACATCCATTCCTTTCAATCAGTGCAATTTTCAATTTAGTGCAATTTTTTATATTTAAATAATTGAGACGTGAATTTGCTAGTTACCAGCACCAAAAAACATGAAGAATTAGTTAGTGTCGGGTAAAACGATTAAAAAAAAGGAAAAAATTAAAAAATTTCAATAACGGAACATCTCTACAATCATTTTCATTGTTAAAACACTTAATATTATTTATTACAATAATTAAACTATGCATTCAAAATGTTACATTATATATTATCTATCCATTAAAATCAATTTATTTCAATTGCCAAATACACTCCTTCATTCCACTCACAATAGCAAATAAGCATAAGTCAATTGCCAGCTAATACTAGCATAAATTTTGAAAAACTTCAAAAAATATTTTACCAGCTAACAGCACTAAAAGTATAGAAAATAAATTATTAAAGTGAAAATAAAATAAAAATAATTTCACAATACATTTCTGTAATGAAGGATTGTATTCTCAATGTTCAACTTCACAATATCATTCACTCAATATTTGGTTTAAGGACGAGGTATAGGAGGTTCTCTAATGATATCAATTTGAAGCTAATAAGAGAATATTGCAGAGGTCGGCACACATAATAAAATATATGACTGATGCCTCAAAGTTTTTTTCATTTCTTCTTGTCGGCGGCTTTGAACTATCTTTTATATCCTTTTATAAATAAATTGTTTTTGAATATGAAGTATAGTAGCTACTCGTATAGCCATAATCGTATAATGAATAATTAAAAACTATTTATGTCAATTTAGTTAGGTTATACTTATTCATAGTTAATGTATAAACTTAAATTTGTAAATTTAAATAACCTGTATAGTATATAATAAAGAAGAGTACTACCACTACTACTACTAGTACTTACTGGTACTGAGTTGAAATAATTTAAAATTTAGTACTTCCTAAACTTCATATCTAATATAAATACCCACTAGGTGCTATACTCCAAAAAGTAATTTTATCAATCTTTATTTCTAAGTAAATCAAATCCATTGCCAGTTCTAGAAGGTTTTACTATACCATCTCTCTAAGAAGGATTGCTTTTGTATCACCTTTACGATTATACCGTTAAGCTCTACTTCACTTCTTCTATTATCCTAAACCTTGTTTCTACTAAACAAGCCTGTTCTCATCAAGTTCAAGGTTTTAAGATGTTTAAATATATTATTGAAACAGGTAATAAAGTCATTTCAAGGAGTTGAGTAGGAGATAACTCTGTAAAACTCTGTAATAACTCTGTAAAACAAAAATCGGTTCAAAGGTTTATAATTTCTGATGACAAAATAATAATTTTATAACACGGTAGTTTCATTCTTAAATGTATCACTTGTGTATATTCATAAAATATTCCTATCTAGATTATTACAACTTTTTGTATAGTTAATAGTTTGAATAGTTTTGAATAGTTTGAATAGTTCAAGACAATGAATCTATGATTAGTTAGATTATCATTGATTTCTATTTTTAGCTACTAAAACACGACGCAGGTCAAAATTTCCACGAAACGGGGTCTTCAATATAAACGATTAATGATACATGATTAATTACTAAAATAAACTTATTACAATGTTCACTGCAATAATCACATTGCAGCACACAGAGTAAGCGATAGTTTATATTTGCTGGAATTGTTCTCAATTGTGGGGGCGCGTAGGATATAATCACAATCTAAATATACAAAAACAGTATCGCTATTCTATCGGACATTCATAATAATTTCTTATTTAGCTCCCAGGATATCAAAAAGTTAAGGTAAATGAAAACTTAAATAAAATGACAAATAGAGGATTTTTAAGCCAATATATTTAGTCATAAGAGCTGTTGAAATTAAGCATCATCAAATAAAGTACCGAAAGTAGAAGGGTCTTGCAATATGAGAACATCATGCCTTAAATAGATATGTAGCTTATATGTATACAAGCTACAATATGATAGACATTTCTAGATAATTGATGCTGGTTTCGTGTAGTTATTGCAACTAATAACAAGCAATATAAGAGATATATCTATATTGACAGCAGTCGCTACTAGTTTCTAGTCTATTAAAAAGGAGGTTGTTAATATAACAGCGCCCAACTGATAAAAAAAAGCTATTTTCTTTTTTCTCTGTACATGACTTGCTCTGGAGATGTATAAAATAGCATTCGGGGTTATTAAACTGATCTTTAATAATCCGGAGAGCTAAAGAGAGTTAACATTTACTAAGTGCTGATGTTGATACACCGCTCGAACTTTGATTTGACTATGACAACCAACCATATAACGATTCATATAAACGATAGATGTCGTATCAAAATTGGGTCGAAGGCCTAAGTCCCTTCTTTATCTACTCTCAAAAAAAAACCCTTAAAAAAAGTTTTTTTATATTTTGTGTAACTAAATATATTTTTAAAATATATTCTATGAATATATTTTATTCTCATTCTATTTTTTAATAGAATACTAGTAGATGACCCGGCGAACTCTGTTCCGCCTTAAAGGCAATAAATAAGCAGTTTTTTTTTAATTGGAAAAAATACAAAAAAAAAAAAAATACCTACATTAATCATTCATAATTTATTTGTGTATTTTAGTACACATCGCAAATTATCTATTTGTTGACCTCTGTTGTTCGC